GAGGCTCATGAGGAGCACTGAGGGCTTGCCCTCATGCCAGAGCAGCAGGAGAACCACAGAAGTGACCGAAGTCAGCACCCACGAAGACCCAAGCTGGGCTGTCCACAAGGCGGCCATGGGGTCATTGGAGGCCCTGTGGGGACAGAGCTGGACCAGTCTGAGAAGCTGGAGGCCCACAGCTGCCTGGATCAGGAGAGCAGAGGATAGAGGATACTCTGCTGGGGGCTCACTCGACTCTCCTGGCAGCTAGTGAGAGCCCTGCCCGTGTAACTGTGGCCGGTTTCTTACCGGTCTCACCCTCCTTTCCAAATCGAGCTCGCTGAAATCACAATTTCCTTTTTATGGGTCTGGTATGTAATGTACACTAGATAAATATTTATTAAATGGATCAAGCAACATACTAGAATTTAAGTTCCACGTGGCTAGAGGCTGTTCTGTTCACTTGCTGAATCCCCAGCACCTAGGACAGGACTGGTGCACAGCAGGTGCTCAGCAATTACTTAATATATTTAATTATAGAATTATAAGTAATTACAGTTACTATGGCTCAAAGAGGATGGCTCTTTCTCCCAAGGTCACAGCACCTTAGTGGAGAAATAGGATGGATGAGTAAACCTCCCCAGTTCCCAGCTGGTCGCTTTCCTGGGCTGCAGTGCCCCCGCTGGAGAAGAGCTGAACTGCCCTGAGCCCACTGCGATTCCCAGACCTGTTCCAATCGTGAGATCTGCCTGGCGACTGCCGCTGGGTTATGACCCAGGACTGGATGGAGGTGCTGAGGGTCCGAGGTGGCATGGCAGCACAGTCCTTGCTAGAGCCTGTGCAGGTGGTCTAAACCAGAAGAGAGGTAGCACTTTGCACACATGGACACTCAAAATGCTAGTGACTCAGGAACCTGCGTGAGAGGTCAGGGCTGAAGTCGGGGGTGGAATCATAAGATTAGGAGGGAACACCTGGAAGAATGAGAGCAGAGAAGAATGTAAAGCCCCAGGACTGAGGCGTGGGAGGCATATGCATGCTGAAGGCAGACGGCGACATCAGAGGGAGATGGTAAGCCAGGACGGTCACAGAAGCCTTGAAGGGAAAGTGTTAGACGCAGGAGGTCCTTGGGAGAGGAGGCTGAGGACTGGCAAAGTCCACTGAACTTGGCTGAAAGGAAGAGGAGGCCTGGGGTTTTACAGCAAGAGCTTCATGGCTTGGCTCAAATCTCCACCCAGCCAGTTGACCAGCCACGAGTGACTTAGGCTGAGCCAGAGACTTACCTCTTAGAGCTTCAGCTTCCTTATTTATAAATGGATGATACCTACTGTTGGGGCCTGTAAAATGCTTTGCCCAGTGCCTGAATCAAGGGAGGCACTCAATAAATGCTGTGATTATTATGTTGGTGGCAGTGTTGTTACTGCAACTGGTGACCTTTAAGAAGAAAATATCAGTTCAGTAGGGGGAAGGGAAGGGAAGGGGAAGAAGATGGGAACCAGATTGCAGGAAGTTAAGGGGAGCCAAGGAAACGGTGGGTGTAGATCACTTTGCTGAGGAATTTCATAGTGAAAGGAAGTTGAGAAATCCAGTGGTTGGGCAGCAGGAGAGCCAGCAGTTTCTTTAAGAGAGAAAAAGCAAGTGGAGGCTCACAGGCAAAAGGGAGGGAACTTGTAGAGATGGAGAAAGCCAGAAGCAGGCCCCAGGAGTGTGCAGGGATGGCCTCTTGGAGGAGAAGCAGGAGCCCGCCCCCAGCGACTGCCAGCCCCGTGTTCTCTGCACCCTGGCCTGCCTGTGTTCCTTTACCAGCCTCCCCGCAGAGGCCCTTGAGGTCTTTCCCTCAGCCTCTTTCAGAGAGTGTGGTCGAAAGCAGGCTTGCCTAGAGGTCAAGAGGCCAGAGCTCTGGTCCTGACCCAGGCCATTTGTACTTGGCTGAGCCCCTGTCCTTCCTGAGCCCTTGTGGCCTTCTCCATAAATGGAGCGATCATCTTGGTGATTCTGTAACCATGTCATCTCACTAAGCATTATAAAACATTTCCTCTTCTGAAGTTTTTCTCCACTCTGATTAGAAGGAAGGAAAAAAAATCTCTGAGCTGAAGCTCTCACTTCCTCCCGCAACTGGGACAATATTTCTGTTTCACACGTATTGCGAGCAGATCCGGCGATTCCATCAGTACTGGCAGATCGCTGCTGAGCCACCTGGTGTTTTAAATAGCATGTGCACTTTGTCCTGGCCTTCTGGAACGAAGCAAGAGAGAAGCAGGAGCTTTGTGCTGGGCAGAGTGTTGCTGTGGATGAGGCACTCAATGGCTGCAGGCTTCTGAATCCTCAGAAATAACAACAATTACTGTGCACACCACAATCTGTCCTCCAAGGCAGCAAATGCATCAGCTGCTGGTTATTTTGATACCCTGGATAAAAAGCTCTTTCGAGAAAATCTAGTGCAGAAAAACATTCTTATCCTCTGCTTCTCTGCACCATTCCCTCTGCCCACTGGTCTCTCAGCTGTTTCTCATTCCTGTAAATGTAGTGGTCCAGGCCTTAAGGTCCTTCTCTCAATGACCCAGGAGAAGGACATTTCCATCTGGGCCCTTCATGAAAGTCAAGGAGGCAAGAGAAGAGACACCTGGCTATGGTCTCTGTGCAAAGGCCAGCCTGATCTGGAACCTGCCAGAAACCAACCCAATGTGGATGGGTTGTCTGACAGCCACAAATGGCTCTGAACATTGTTGGATTCAGGAAGCATTTACTGAGCACCTACTGTGTGCCAGGCCCTGTGCTAGGACCTGGGGAGACTGTTATAAACACGGCCAGGGCCTAACAATCCAGCCCCCACTAGAACATGAGCTCTCTGAGAACACTACCTCAGCCATCTCACAGGGCCTAGCACATACTAGCCTCTCGATAATTAATCTTCACAGTGTTTGTTTTTTATAGGTTCTTATTTACTCAAGATCCTTAAAGTTCAGGGACAGAAACAGAGCCAGCTTAGGATGGAAAGGAGCTCTTATTAAAGCAATATGTGTCATCAGAATATGACCGACGATTAGGGGGGCAGGCATCTCGGCTCCTATGCTGCTTACATCATTTTTACATTTCTCTCTTACACACCACATGAAAAAGAACCACAAGTGCCCCCAAATCCTTTTGTCCTTCTGGGTGACGCCACAAGGACACATGCAAAAGCTCTGCATTCAACAACCAAATTCTCTGTTCTTCTAAAATTTTCAGCTTCATCCCTAGATCCTCGGGCAGCTATGATGTAAGGCTTAGGGCTGGCGCTTTCAAACACATGTATACGTGACATGATTGATGAATGAATTTGTCCTGTTGTCAGGAAATTCCTTTGTTTAATTGACGATGATAAATTTCCTAATGGATCATGCAGTATCTGATGTGACCTCTGCAGAGAGGGGCATTTACAGTGTCCCCAGTCGCTTGCACTCACCTCCAAAGTATGTTCATCCACCAGTCTGTATCTGAATACCTCAGAAGTGGATGGGTCTTTGCTGGGAAATACGAGGCTATGCCAAAGCTAAAGCTGACTTCAGTTCTGGGGCTTTCCTCCTGCCTCATCCTTCTCAGAGCATGCATCAATGGGGCGAACTTAGGTATGGGGACAAAGGCGAAAACAGGAAGAACTGGAGACTGCAGACCAATCTGTGTCAAGGGAGCTGGAAGTGCCTAAGCAGGGCCTTGCTTGCTCAAGTGCCCTCCACTGGAGGTAAAGGGCCACCGTTGGACTTATAACAGGAACTCCCATGCCTCACTAAATCCTGGCACCTAAGAGTGACCTTCCCCTGAATTGTGCTGGCATGGCTTCACCAACAAGGGAGACTCACTTCCTCTCCCTGTCTCTGCCTCTCTGCCCACTTGGGTCCTCCTTCATGGCGTGGGGCACAGGGTGAGGGGTCAGCATGCAATTTGCTCAAGGAAGGAGGGAAGGCATCTGACTGAGCTCAACACCGTAGGGAGTTGGCATGTGAATTTTCAAAGCCTAGGAATCCCCCAGAACGTTATTACAGTTACTGATGCACACCTGGTGAAAACTCGGACTTCAGGGGTACTTCTGCCTTGCTAGTCTGGGGCTGAGGTGGGAAAGGGCAGGCCATGGGTCAGGTAAGCTCCCCTGTCAGGCTCTGAATCCATGGAACACAAGAAATCTTGGAGGACCAGTCAGGAGATCGGCCTCACTTAAAGTCCGCACTGCGGGGATAAACAGGAATTTGGGTAGGGCCTGGGGTGGCGCAGAGGGCTGGCTGTCCATAGTTTAGAGTCATAGACCCCTTGCAAAACTGATGAAAGCTGCAGACTCGCTACTCAGAAATATGCACGCACTACACACATACAAATTTGCCTACAATTTCAGAGGGGTCAGGGACCCCAGGAAGCTTCCAGAATCCAGGGCCTCAAGTTAAGGTCCTGAGTGTAGATCCTGACGCCTAAGTCCTCTGCCCCTTGTCCCCAAGCCAGACTCGCCCCTGCCCGGGGGTCTTCTAGCCGGTTCCGGTTCTTGGAGTCCCTGCACCTGTCCGGAGCTCCCCCGGGTGCTTGCTTCTCCCGGCGTGACGGGAAGCGTCCTGGGCAAAAAATTCTCTCAGCTTCTCTCTCTCCGCTGTGAGGAGCAGCCGAAGCCTGGGGCTCGGAGGGTAACTCCAGGTGGACCCCCGAGATGTTGGCGGCAGGCAAAGGAGGGGGAAGGGCAGGGACGTGCGGGAGGCTCGGGGGAACTCCGCCTACCCCCAGCCTGGTGGCGTCCGGGGCCAGCCCCACTGCCTGGTGCCCCCAGAAAACCGGCGTCTGTGCTTCGCGCGCGCGGCCCCTCCGGCCCCTGTGCGTTTCTCTTTGACCTCTGGAGGTTTGAATCCTTCCCTGGCTGGGTCGAGCCGGCTCTCCTGGGAGCGATTGATCTCTGGGCCCCAGGACCCCCTACAGCCGGGCACCTCCGCGCAGCCAGAGCAGGTGCGGGGCTGGGGCCGGAGAGGGTTGGAGTGGGGGGAAGGATTTGGAGCGAGTGACTCAGGAGTCCGGGAGGAGGGGCTAAAATTTCAAGAAGCCTGTGTTGAGCAGCTCGGCGCTTCGGCACGGCAGAGAGCGCCGGGAGCCCGAGGGGAGCGCAGCGGTGAGTCAGGCTGCCCCGAGCCGAGCGCCGAGAGGGGCGCAGCGCGGGCAGGGGCGCGGGCCGGCGTGGCTGGGCTCCCCGGGAAAGAGTGCATGCATCCCGTCTGGCTAGATCTCCGGGCACCCCCGAGGCTCCCGCAGGCTGCAGTGCAGCTGTGAGACGAGCGTCCCGAGTGGGTGCAGGAGCGCGGGAGCCTGGGGGAGCGGGCCAGGCGGGGGAGCAACGCTCTCTCTGTAGTGGAGTTCCCGGTCTCCCGATGGCCCGAAGTCCGAGAGGCTACCCTGGCGCCTGCGCTAGACTACTAGCTCCAGGGCTAGCAGGGAACAGCGCGCAAGTGAGGGAGAGCGAATGAGCGTGGAGAGAGGGATGCGCGGGCTTGCGAGCGCGCCGGCCCGGAGGAGCGGTGGTCTGCGCCGCGGAGGGCGAGTGCACAGCGCGCGCGGGCTGGGGTGAGCGCCGAGTCTCGAAAGTGCTACGCTGCCCCCAGGTAAGGGGGCGAGCCGGGCAGGGCGCACTAGACCTGGTGCAGGGAATGGAGCAAGGGTCTTCGGGCTCCTCTGCGCGTCGCTGGAGGGCTGGGAGTCCCAAGGGAGGGCCCCGGGGCTTGATAGGGGAAGCCTGCGCGCCCAGGGACCCCCACGGAGCCGCGGTGGACCCAGGTCGCCAAGGATCGGCGCTGCTACTTGGGTCACACGCCTCAGCTCCAGCTGTCTGCTGCCAGGTGTGGGAGACGCTGGCATGGAGGCGTGGGGCGGGACGCGCCTTGGGTCCAGGCGGCGAAGACCTAGGGAGGGAGAGAGAGGACACAGGGGTCAGGGAGCGGCATCTTTGAGCCAACGTAAACAAGCGGCTTAGCTGTGTTTGATTACAACTCTCCTTCCTTCAAGAAAAAAAAAATCTTTGAGATTCTCATGAAAGGTGTTTTCTGCTTGAACTTTCTCTTCTCTTGTGACTTGAGAGATTAAAAAAGAGCTTGCTTGCTAGGCTGGTTTTTCCAAGTTGTTCCAGGTTGGAAGTTGTACGTTTGAAGGATAATTTATGGGTGTTTCGTGAATTAAAGTGTATTACAGCAAAGCCTTTTGGGTGCTGTGGGTATTAAGGAAAACTTAGTGCACGTTCCCAGCTGAAAACCAAAATAGTGCTCTCCTGGGTGCCTCTGCCCCATCTGTCATCTGAGGCCAATGGAAATCCTGGAGAAAAGGCACTTGATTAATTGTCCTGGCTCCATCCTCTAGGCGCACCCAGTGCCAATGCCAGTCCCTTCCTCCCCCCTACACGCGCATGGCCAGCTGCATTCTGCAAATTCAGAAATGGTGGTGGAAGGCCCACCAGTGACTTCTCTCCCGAGTCCTCAAACTCTTGAAGCTGTCAGTTAAGTCCGCTGGAGGGGACTATTTCTCCCTCTCAGAGCAGTGCTGAGAGGGCCCCGGCAGTTGGCCCCTGCCAGCCCTTTTGCGCAGTGTTTACAGTTTCCTCCCTAACGTCTGAAACTCTCTCCCTCTGCAGAGCCACAGAAGAAAGGCTACATTAAGTCGGGTGGGTCTCCTCTGTGGAATAAGTCATATGTCAGCCTGGGCAACCCAAATGCCAAGCCATCGTGGGCAGTGTTCCCAGAGGTTCAGGGGGTACCTGAGACTGGGGTTGGGGGAGAATGAGAGTGGTCTGGGGGCCAAGACTGGCCCTGCTGGCGTTGACTCACAGAAGAAATGCTCATACTTGCGTGGGTGGAGGGGGAGGGGGTTAACATTACATGCTGGCGAACCCCTCCCCCTTGCTTTTCACAACATTTTTATGCAGGTGAAAAAAAGGGCAGCCTTGAAGGGAAAAATGTTAGGAGGCACCACAAATGGGAAACCAAGGTCTCTGGGGCATGGGGACACATGTTTTAGTGGAACTGTAGGAGTGCCTCAGAGGGTTTATAACCAGCTGCTGGTGCAAGGCCTTCCCTGGGCAGCCATCTTACCCCTAAAGCTGCCCAGGCCTCTAGAGAATTGGAAATCTGGGTCCACTCAGGGCAGTCGTTCCTAGTATTGGTGACTCTTTCTGCACCCTAGCCTTTTTCAAGGAGTGAGCTTCCCACCTTCTGTTGCCTACCCCACATCTCCCCAACCTGGAGGGCCAGAAGGAGCAGGGTCTGAGGCTTCACACTCCCTTCTCTTCCATGGAGAAATCTGTGCCATGGCCAGGAAGGGGGCCCCAGCTGCCGACATCAGCAGGGAGGGTAGGGCATGGCAGGGCAGGGCCAGAGCCCGAGGGAAGTTTCTCATCATTACTGAGATTAAACTGATGAGAAAATCACGCAACTTTACTTTTAAGTGAGTGCTGAGCACTGCTGCTGCACATGCACGGAGTGTCCTGTTGCAGCAGCAGCTGCATTGGAGCCCCAGAGAAACTCCAAAGGAGACACTCCTCTTCCCTACCATGCGTGGAGCAGGGGCAGGGCCCAGACTCCCAAGCAGACATCAGTGCGAGACGAGGGACCAGACGCCCCGCCATTTGTCTTCTCCCAGTAAGAACTTGGAGGAACTTCTGAGTCCAAAGCAGACCTTCGGGACCTTTGCTGGCAGCAGATACTCTGCTCTCGGGAGGCAGTGGAAGGCTTGCTGAGGATTCACTTAAAACCCATGGACATCTCTGAGCAAACAACCCATGTTCCCAGAGGTTTTCTCTTTCTTTGCCTGGCCCCTCTGATCTTGCAAACCATCAGCTAAACCATCAGCTCCCAGCCTTAGCGAGTCCTGAGAAATCAACACTGTGATGGACCACTTTCACAGAACAGCATATGATGGCATCAGGCAAATAAATGGAGATGAAAGACCCTTACCCAACCAGTTCCCAGGGACCTTGCTTCCTGACAATGGGGAGACAGTTAACATCCTACCTCCAAATGGTAAAACTGGGATGGCCTCGAGGCAGAAATGCAGCTGAAGAAACGGAGACTTTGGGGTCACTGACCTTTCAGTTGGGTGTGCACAGGATGGCATTGTCACTATTTGAGCCAAGGAGGATAGACCTTCAGCCACAAAGTTTGGCCAAGACCAGAAAAATGAAAGCATACAATAAAGAAGAGTTTCTCATGCTGCATGATGTTTTCGTTATTCTTCTATGGGCTACTTTACATGTTTTTGAGGAGTCTTTATGGACTGTTGGCCTCAGACTATGACACAGTAGGAATCAGATTGAAACATTGAGATAATGTCTTGATATTTTTCTCCTGTATTTTGGGTCAACTTCCTGTGATAGTTTCCTGAATTGTGAGACAGGAGGGAAAGTAGCTTTGTGACCTTGAGCAAGTCACGAAACTTCTCAGGCTTCACATTCCCAATCTATTGGACAAGTGTATTGAATTAATAGTGTTTCTCATTGGGGCTCTTGGCATTTGGGGATAATTCTTTGTTGTGTGACCTATTTACATAATGCAGGACATTTGGTATCCTTACCTTACCTACTAAATGCCAGAAATCATGGTGATAACCAAAAATACCACCCGCCCCATGTACGAATAAATGCTTATTAAAAGGATATTACTGCTCTCAGTTGAGAACTCCTGTGAAAATTATCAATCAGAGCCTTTATTCCAGGCCCTACTGTCAGAATTTATTATTTATTAAATAATACATCTATTATTTAATCATGGAGTTGGGGCTTCTGAAGACCAGCCTGGGCTTCATCCTGCAAGAGCCAGCATATCAGGCTCCAGGAAGCCATTGGCAGGAACCTCGGTGCTGTGGTCCCTCCAGGCATCATCCTTTGCCTTTTCTCCATGCAGTGTGACTACAAATGACCCACATGAAAAGAAAACCAGAAAGGGTGGGGGGAAGGGACAGGTGGTATTAGAGCATGGCGGCTTCCTTGTCTGCCATATGCTGTTAAAAACACAGGCAGACTGCTTGCCCCAGGTGTCCACAGCACTGAGAGGAAATCCTTCCCTCCTTTACTAAAGGGATCACACTCTGGCCCCAGGAGGTCCCTTCCCTGAATGAGAGAACAAGGAAGCCGAATCCTCCCCAGCACTGGCAGCACTTAATGCAACATGAGTACATGTTGATATCAAATTAATACAACTGTGCCCAAGCTGTGAGAATAAATGGGAATCAATAATGTGACATTTGACTGAAACAAGTAGGCTAGCAATGCCAGGCTGGAGGGATGGTGCTTGTAGCCCTGGGTTTATTCTCAAGGAGAACAGCTCATGTTATCCTTACCTCTACCCCAAGATCTCACTGGAGGACAAAAAATAGAGCCCTTCGGTTATCATAGTGCAAAGGGTTAAAATGAATAGTATCTTTGAAGGATATTATAGGAACACCTACTAGCTACTCACCCCCAAGTGGCAGGAGAGAGAAAATTGTGGAAGAGTTAGGGCTGGCAGAGTTGGTAGCTGGTTCCTGATGAGCACCCCCACCACCACCAAAAAAAAAAAAAAAAGACATAGGAGACTTAGGGAAATCCCGGAATGAGGTTGACTGGTCTGATGATGCAATCTGTCAGGTGGGACTAGCAACAATGCTTTCTGAATTGCCCAAGAGTGTGGCTAACCTCTTTCACGTGCGGAAAGTCTTTTTATTAGCAGTAGTATTAGTCAGAGTCAGACAGTCAGGATTTCCCTGAAAATTCACCACCAGGCTAAGCAGATGGAGATGTTTTGGCACTGCCTGTGGTGGCTTCTGCAGGTGGGGAGCCCCACAAGTGGAAGGATCTGGCTCTGAAGTCAGTGGGAATGAACCGCCCAAGCTTCACATAGAAGCCATTCCACGTGGAGGGCAGTTACAATCCACTACAACTGGAATAGTCTCCCAGTAACCACAAAGTATTTGCTATTCGGTGCAGATAGGCTGATTGTTCCATTTCCTTTGGCTGGTCCTTCAGTAGCCAGGGTTGGTGGTATGTATCATCTGTCTGCGTGTTGTATGTTGTTCCTAAGTGAGCGCGAGGAGGAACGTGTGGTGGAAGCCATAAAGCTCAGCCCAGATTGCGGGTGGAGGGAGCTCCCGTCTCAG